TACCTCCAGATTTTGTTTTGTAAAATGCATTTTTCGAACAGATTGAGAGACTAAGGGAACCACAAAGGAACCCAATAATTCTAAATTATACGACGATATATTTAAATAACAGAAGCTTAAGAAGATTTAATTTTGTTAAATTACAATAAAATTCTCTATTAATTTTGTAAGGAGGTTTTTTTATTATTACAGTTTTAGGCTCCTGGATTGTCAAAACTTGGATAAAAAACTGAGATCAAAATTTGACAGATTACCATACTTTCTCTATGTTATATTTTATACCAGACAAGAAAGGAAAATGTAAGCATTGATTATAATTTAAAAAAAAGCAATAGCGAAGTTAATGTGTAATTCTTAAATGGTTTTCCAGAATACTGTACATAAAAATGCAGTACTGTATTCATTTTTCAAAATATTAAAAAATAAATTGTTTCTAAATAAGAAATACTGTTTAGTTTTTCCATTTGAAAAAAAAACACTAAAATAATGCTTAGATAAATAGAAATTCTGTTAAATTATAATATATTTTTACAGATAGTGCTCTTTTTCTAAAGGAAGTATTGCATATGTAGTGACTGAATATACAGCATTGTTTTTATTGAGCAACTGTCACTAATTGAAAATGCTTCCATTTCAAAAAGTTTTTCCTTGTATTTTTGACTATTTCCTGTGAGTACTAAGACAGCCTTTTTCCAGGCCCATCAATGACAATACCAGGTGATGAGTAGCAGATGTGACATCCAAGACACAAAAAACTCCTGAGATTGCTTACCTGCATTTTGATCCTGAGTCCTCAGAGAAGAAGGCTGACACCTTAACCTCTACATGTATGTACATACAGGTTGAGTATCTCCAATCCGAAATTCTAAAATCTGTATCATAGCTTTAACACTAGGAAGATCTTAGGAATAGGACTATGGTTCACTGTTTGTGTTATGAAGGATGAAACAACACAGACATGATATAGCTGCAGTAGTTTATTAAACCATCAAAAATTGTCTCTGTAAATTGTCTGTGACTACTTAATTTTATGTTGGGCTGTTTATATATTGTTAAGAGGGCCATTTTTTTAAATCTGTCTGGATTTGATTTCTAGTTCTCATATAGCGGCAGCTTAATTACTCCAGTCAATCTGAAACATTCTTGGTTCCAAGAATTTCAGATTAGGGATATTCAACCTATAGTAGTGTATAATATTAGTAAAGTAAATATGTATTTATTCTATAATAAATTATATGTTCATTTAGCTTTTACATTGTAATATATTAAAATATTTGATATACAGTATATATGAAATTACATGTTCAATAGAGAAGAAAGTGTCATTATTTTTGGAATGTTGAAATTAACAATGATCTAATGAATGTTTCTAGATTTTAGAATATACAACTGAATCTTTTTACATTTGTATACTGTATAATATGCAAGATTCGGCTTTTACTCATATAATTTTACTTCTAAACAAAATAACAATTAAGTCCTTTTATTTTGCCCTCTAAAAAATATATACAATATATATATGGCCATTTTGATTCTGTTTCTAATAATTTTTCGAAGGATAAAAATACTTTTTATATCTTTTTGTTTCATTTCAATTTTTTTGTAAAGTTTTTGATCTATAAAATATATTTAGTTTTTAATGAGAATTGTTGTTTACAAGGAATGTTTCAGTCACAACGTGTTATCACACAATTTCTTCTTCTTAGTTAAAAAAAAAAAAAACAAATAAGCATTAAAATTTGAAAATTGGAATGACTTGCAAAATTGATTCCAAATTCTGTAAATCATATTTGAGGTGGAGTGTTTGTGAAGCCTCATCTATTTGGCTTACAGAATTGCATTTGTTCTTGAAATACAAGATCCTAACAAGAGCATATGTGACAAAACAATATCGGGCAAATCACGCAATGTTCCAAGGTCACTAGCACGTCTTCTATATGGCTTACAGAATTGAGTTTGTTCTCAAAATATGATGGGCCAATTTTGATAAAAACTTTGCCATTTTATTATTGATTGCGATGAAGAATCCAGAAATGTAATAAATGTAAATGTAGAAAATAGGGATTCACAATTTCGTTTTTGATATAAATTGGAGTCAAAGTAACAATATCTGTGCTCCTAGAGCATGCCTAACAGAATTTAGGGGTCAAATAAATAAATAAATAAATAAATAACCGTATTGTGTGCACCTAACAGAAAATAGATACAAAAAAGAAAAGAACGCAAGAACAAAGCAATCAATGCCAATTACTTTGTTCTTGGATCACCTCTCTATGTCATAAAGTGCAAGGATTGCATCTCGCATGGCCAATAGGGTATGAGGATCATCTCTCCTATGACTGGCAAGTACAAAGATAGCCTCTTTTGTGGCAGCAAGTGCAAAGTTCGTCTGTCAGTGACTGTCAGGTACAAAGATTGCCTTTTCTGTATCTAATAAGTTTAAAGGTTGCTTCTTTCTGTCCAGCTCTGTCTCATTTCTATTGCAATACAACAAAGTTACATGATGTCCTAGTAGTTATCATAGAACCAAATAATGACAAAGTAACTTTTGGGCTAACTTGACTAATAATATAATAAATACTATATGATTTGGACTAAAGACAGGCAGTTAAGTGCCATTTTGTACTGAATTTAATAATTATAATAATTTTGAATTAAATAAAATAAAATATATGCACTGTATATTTATTTATGTAAGATTTATGAAATAACTGAATTTTTAATTATTTTTACAAGTAAGAGCATTTTTAGAAAATTTTGTACTGTATTAATATTGTTATTTCAAAATAAATGTTTTTCCACAATATTCCATTTACAGGATACCTATTAAACATTATCCAGGGGCAAAGATCTTTCCAGCATTGGTTAGGTTGTAGACCACACAGATGCATTTATTAGGTGAGGTTGTGAACCACATCAGAGACAAATAGGCCTCCAGATATTACATCACCATGACATGCACCTATTCCACTGTTTATCTGCAATCAGCGTAACGTGTAGAGGTTGCATAAAACAATTTGCGTGGTGCAATATAATGTTAAATTTACAGTATGATGAATTACAACTCCTTCAGCACATTTCATGGACTGAAAAGGCACTGTTTTCCCAAAATGGAGTGTGTAAGTGTCACAATATGTACCACTGGAAAAAGGAAATGCCTATCCCAACTTAAAGAGCCCCACCACTAGTAACCAAAACAGAACAAATGTATACTAACTGAATAGTGGTGAAGTATGAGCACCACTTAGACACAATTTATAGATGAATAGCAGGACACAACAGCACAGGCATTATATATAAATGAAACCCAACCATATACACATTACTTAGAAATGGAAAAGACCACTTAACACACAGAGAACCCCAGGAGTATATATGATACCCATTACCTAATATGTGTTGATCTACCACTAGATTCTTAAATTGATATTTGATAAATTGACTTAGATAAGGGAAAAATCTCCACTGGCCTGGCCACATATGCTTCTGATAAAGACAGCAACTTTGTTCTACCAAGCAATGCTGATATGCACAGTCTGTGAAGATGAAGATATGAGGGATGTTGATGCCCTTGAAATTTTTAAAGCTGAAAGGAGGTGAACATGCATTAATTATAAAGAAGAAAAACAGATTTTGTATGCTTGGCAAACAATTTACAATACAACACCATCTATGGAAATCCATCCAATCAACATAGATCACTGAATTATGTCATGATGCAGCTTCTTATATCCATTGAACCACATAGAGTTATTAAACATTAGTTTTAAGTTCCATTTAAGGGAAAGCAGAAAACCTGAAGCAGGAGCCCAAAAATCTTTGTTTACATCTACCTGTGAATTTTGTCACTGGGCACCTGAAGGTTTTTTGAGGTGATATACCACTGGATAGAGCATGCTCCACGATGCAACCTACACAACAGCAAGTGCATTTTACCCGAAATATCTGATCCAGAGTTTGGTGTGAGCAGCTTCTTGGTTCTGTATTCATTGATGGCATCCTAAATAGTGAGTAAACTGCTATCTGAACATCCTGAACACAACAGTGAGTTAATGGTTTGCACTGGTGCAACTAAAGCAGGTTTGGTACCAGCACAATGGCACACCACCTCATTCTCAGACAAATTTCTATCAGTGGCTTGCAGAGTGGTTTGGCAACCTCTGTATAAGACAAAAATCTGTTTTATGGTCACAACATTCTCCACACTTGATCCCTATGGAATTTTTCTCATGGGGTCTCCTAAAAGTATTGATATATGATGTGTACCCAGTATTACATGATGTTGGTAAACTGGAGAGATGCATATGAAAGGCCTGAAAAACATTGACACCAGGAATGTTACATACCATCCATAATGCCATACTCGAGAATCTAAATCTTTGTATTGTTGATAAAGATGGTTTTTTGAACATATTCTCTAACAAAATAAAGCTCATTTTTTTGTATCAATTTCTGCAATTTTATATTTATCCTTTATAGTCAGAGATTATTTATATGTTATAGTAAATTGTCTTAAATTGATTCCTTTCAGTTATTTTCCACTGGAACAAGCATACACCACAATGCTTGAAAGATCTCTTCTGACCCTGGATAGATGTTTAAATGGACACCCTGTATATAAATACAGTACATAAATAAAGTATGTTGATTATGGATAATGTTAGAACTGTAATATTTGCACTAACTTACAAAATTAAGATGCAAACAAAAAATGAAGAAGAGGAGGTTAAACATTCAGTATATTTTTATTAAATTTGCCTCTCATTTAGAGTATGGTAATTGCAAAGACAGTAATTATATTTCTAATCTCATAGTTAATAGTTATCAATTCTTGTAGTTGCTGCAATTAATTATAAACACAAAAAGCACCAACAAAATGAAGTTGTAATTTATTTAAAACCATTGTATTTCCATTAGAAATAATTTTTATTTGAATTTTTCTATATCTTTTGTTTTGTAACAAATGAATTATAAAATTGTTTAAATAAATTTGAAACTTTACTAAATGTCCAAACAACAGTAAAATATCAAATTTGGCAAAACATAATATCTTTAAACATTAATTTTAAAATTAAAAAATGATGTGTTCAATATGCAGGACTTTTTCCTGATAATTTTTAAAAATCTTTCTTTGAAATTTAAGACTAGAATACATCACCAGTGGCTTTTAAAGTGCATTTTCTTAAGGTGTTAATAAATATCAGATATACATTTCAATAGTTGAATTTTGAAATTAAAGAAATAAATAAAATTTCAATGTTACTGAACATCCTAATCTAATAATTTTGCACTAAATCATTTGTTAAACTTAGATAGCTCTAAATATCTTTTGAGGGATGACATGCAGGATTTTGAACTGATAATTTGCTTTTTTATTTTATTTTGATCATATATTGTCCTTCCCATTTAAAACAGCTTCCTCCAATGTTAGAACTATAACCTATTTGGGATATTATAGTTACATACTGTACATTAATATCCATAACTGATACACATTTGATATTATTGCAAAGGATATGGAAGCTCAACAAGTGAATGTATTAATAAAATATTGCAACAATATTTATATAATATCCATCAGAACAACTTATATCCATTGATATCAATTAACTTTTAAAATAAATATCCTATAAACTTTTATATTAAAAAAAAAATTAAATTTTTTTCTCTCTTTTTTGAAATTAATACTGGTAAAACATACCATAATTTAGTGATGGGTGATACTAAAACTATATCACAATCGACATAAACAGAAAAGTAAAGGAATAAAGGCACCAACGGCTACAAAAATGGGAAGCATGGTACTGTTGTCATCTGTCTCGTATGGATTGGGACTACGAGGACCCGATGGCCTTCTAACTTGTGATGATTTCTTTTCTGTTTGTAATTCTTCTTCTTCCTCATCTTTCTCTTCTCCCTGAGAGAGTGGTGGCAACTGTGGTACATCTAAAATAAATAAAATTAATATAATTTTATTTTATATATATATATTTATTTATTTCTTTCTTAATTTTGAGCAGAGGTTAAAACAATTTACTGATAATTATTTGTCTCAATTTTTAGATACAAAAACACAACTAAGATACAGTGACTATCATAATGAAATGAAAAGTTATTGTAAAATCTTTTGATATCTTTGAGAGAAATGTTTGTAACTGCTATTTATTACAAAGTTAAAATTTCATAATTGTATAATAAACAAAAATTATTTTGTCATATTACATTATAATATAATAACTATTTTTTTTAATAAAAAAAAACTATTTTATTATTATTATTGAATTACAGTTGAACTTGTTTATCTCAAAAACATCTTTATCTCAAATTATGGACTGAAGTATCAATTCCAAATTAAAAGTTCAGTGATTATATTTTGATAGCATAAATTGTAGTTGAGAAACATCTATTGCAATATAGTAACAGTTGTAATTGGCTATGAATTTGTTTTTTTAAGTTATTGTTACATTATGTTATGTAAGTTAAGTTATAGTATCATTTCCCTTCTCCTTCTCTTCCGCCACCAGTTTACACCTCCACCGTTGTCTATCCTCAAAGGTAAAGTGCAAATAAAACTACATTTTTTTTATCAATTATTATTCTATTATGGTTATTTATACATTTACAACTACAAAATGCATTTTTCAGTGTTTTCTTTACTATAGTTTTTTTTTTAATGTACTACTTAGCTTTAATTTGAGTGTGTTTTTTGTGTTGGAACGAATTATTTAGGTTTATGGGGGAAAATGATTCACCTTATGACATTTTCATGATACGATCTCAGTTTCAGAACGGATTAATTTCGTATCCTGAGGTACCACTGTATATTAATATTTATATATCATGCGCATATTTTCTTCTTAAAATTAACTTTTCAAACTTTTGATATTTTTACTTTATTATACATTTTAATTAACATAATTTAAAATTTATAAATTTCAATTTGAAAGTTAATCATAATAAAAAGCTGACAGAAAATCAAAATGTTAAATTCAATAAGAATTTATTGCAATTTCAATCAGGATGCCACAAAATATAGTGCTGAGCAGCACCATAGTGTTCTTGATATTTACAATAATTCTTATGTATATTACTAAAAGTATATAAAATGAAATAATTGGTTATAAAAACATTGCTAAAGAACTAGGGTTACCTCAAGTAAAAAATTACCAAGCTGGGGTGCCACTATTAGAAAAAGATTAAAGAAAAAAAAAAAAAAAACCACTAATATATTGTTACAGCAAGAAAGCAAGAATAGTGAAAAAATGAATTATGTATTTTGCAACAATAAAATTTGTTCTGCAAATTTATTAAGGCTTATTATGCAGTATTTATTACTGATATTACATGAGTTTTAAGACGTGATGCAATGAAAAACTGAGTTAATTCATAAATGTTTTTCTTAAAACTGTGAGTAAATTAAAATTACTTTAATGAAACACAATAGAAAAATTGTTTGTAAATACCTGGTGAATATCTGTAAAAATAATAATTGTGATAATGTATATAAAAATCTTTATAAAATAATTAATTAAAATTAATTATTTGTAATATTTACTGAAAGCAAATGAAAGATTAAAAAATTACTTAAAGATACAACATTTTTGAATAAATTTTAAAACGATAAAAAGCAAATATAAACATTATAATGTCTTAAAATCTCCAACTTCATTTATTGTTGGAATTTATAAATTGTCATACCAAATCATACTGTCATTATAATTAATGTTAACTGCAATATTTAGAAGAAAATTGTTAAAATTGTCATAGACTCCCACAAAACAAGAAACTTGATTAAATAAAATATATATATATATTCCCTTTTAAAACTCTTTGTTTTAAACCTTTAACCTTTGTTTTATCTGTGTAACCTTTGTTTTATCTGTGCATGTTCTATAAGTTTGGCCTGTTGAAATCCTAAATATTTGTAAAACTTTGCCCTCTTCCATGGACTCAATAATTTCTCCACTTCTGAGTACAAATTCTCCTTTCTTCAAAACTCCTTTTTCAACGTATAGTGTTTTGCATTTGTCTACACCAAACTACATTTGTATATCTTTTGAGTATATGTACATGTCGTAAGAGATGATGAAGCTGATTCTGTGTGGATGCTTTCAGTTTGATATCATCCATGTACCTGAGGTGTGATAATGTAAACAGTGTTGTTTTGTTGTGTATGATATTATAGCCATATTGTGTTTTGTTCAATGGCACAAGGCAGAACCAAAGAGGACTCAAGGAATCTCCTTAAAAATTCCTCACTTGAAGTGTATTTGATTTGTTTTTATGTGAGTGTTATGGAGGTTAAAATGTAATGTTGTTCTCCAGTAGAGCATGATAGACCCAAGGAAACTAATGACTTGGGGATGGATTTTATAGATGCAAAGTGTGTGCAACAGCCAAGTGTGTGAGACACTGTCAAATGCTTTACCATAATCTATGTATACGCTTTGCAAAGGTTGTTCTTTGCAACCTTTATGATTTCTACAGCAGCCTTTTTGTTGTTCTGTAAGAATGTTGTGTTTATCAATATGATTGTATATTTTGTTTGCAATGCAAGAGTTAAGAATCTTGTAAAGTGTTGGAAAACATTCAATTGGTCTGTACTGTGCAGGGTCTTTGGTGTTATTGTTTTTTGTTTTGGGCAATCCATGAGGCAGGCAAAAAATTGGCCTGCCTTATGGATTGGATGATATGTTTATAAATGTTTAACCAGTTCTGGTGCAGATTTGTGAATTTTTTGTACCAGAAATTGTAAATGTTGTCTACACTAGTTGTTGTCCAGTTATGTGCTTTCTGCATTATGCAACAGATGTATTGTGTATTTATTTCAACACAATGCCTACTTGGTGTTTCTTGCATGTATTTGCTCTCCTCTTTGATCCAGTCTACTTCAGCATTGAACATGACAGCAGTAGACCAAAGAGAAGACCAATAATTTTAGTTCTTCTTCAGTTGGCTTTGTGTTGGGAATCAGTAGTGAACTTGGTATTAATTTGCCTGTAGATGAGTTTTTCATTGTTTGTGAATAATTTATTTTATTTCTGTTTTATAACATTTATAACAGAGCAAATTTTATAACATTTAAGTCACCATACTTTGACAGCAAGTTTATGTTTCAGTGTGTCAATGTATTCTGCAATGTGGACATTGTGTTCTTCATGATTTGTCTGTGTTTTAATTTTCTTGAGAAGTTTTTCCAGTTGGTTCATTAATTGTTGTAGGTGTTGTTTTGTTATTAGCATATTGTGTCAGTCTGCCTAGCTGCTATCTAATATTGTTTATTTGTGTTTCCATTCTTCTTTGCCAGGCAGGCTTCTGAAGTGTTTTTGACTTGTGTGCTTCTGTCTGTGGATGCAGTTTTAGTCCATGGTAGGTCACTACCTTGACTGCACCAGCATTGACTAGTATGTGGATGTCTGAGAGTGTAGAAATAGAATGAGTGCAATATGGTAAAATGTAAGTGTTCACATAATGTACAATTTTCCCTACTAGTTTAGAAGTGTTGATTTTGGGAATGCATAGCCATTGCATAGAGTCAGTGCCTGTAAATTTAATGAGTGCTTCCTGGAAAGAAGAGAGAGAGTATGAATTAAGCCTGAATCTATTCCAGGTAGTGAAGAAGTATTGATATTGTCAGCATCAGTAAAAATAGTGGTGATAAGAACAGATTTGTCAATGCATGTATCTTGATGATTTTGATGGATAATGTGATCGTTGTTGATGATAGGAGTATTTGTTTATTGATGTACTGTTCTGCAATTTGTTGTTTGATATGTTCTAGTGTTGTTTATGATATTAGGTTGTTATGCATAATTGTTCTTTTTTGATCAACAACCCTTTGTACAGTGACTGTGAGATGAGGATAATGTTGTGAAAATAAGTGATATAACTGTTGTCTGTATGCTGTCATGTCTGTTTGAGTTTTGTGATGGTAAAGTACAGATGATAAACTCATTCATTTCTGATGTCCATTTCATCCATTGGTATGGTTTACCCACCTTAGTGACCTGTGGCTCAGAAACACAGCCTGTTTCTCACAACTAGTGTGGGCATTGCAGTAGCCATACTTGGATCAGTGTTGCTTTCACCATTGGTGGCCAAGGGAAACTGTAACAAATTTTTTAAACTTGAGCCTCTGCCTAACTCACAAGCGTGAACCTTGTTAACCCAGGTGTCTGAGATGGTATTATTATTTGGATAGTTATTACCATCATTAGATCTCCACAGATGTGGGTTCAGTCACTCTTGGCTTCATTTTTCACAAACCTCACTAGCATGGGTGAACCTACCAGGAGCAGATGTTCCCACCCAACAGCTCTGTGGTTCATCAGAATCATGAGCTCTCTCACCATAGCTAGGTGGTGACTGGAGAGAGCGAGTTGTTATTATTATTAATTTCATTAATAATTTTTAAAAAGTAAAAAATTAATCATGTTCTCAGGAAAAGAAAATAAGAGTGTATAGAAATAAAATGTTAACATTAATTAAAACTCAACTACCAATGATTTTCACTTTATCAAGCACATAAATGATTAGACACATATAACAATATTTCTTACTCTAAAAATTATACACTATCTCAGCTTATAATATTGTCTTTCTATGTATTTTTCCTCTAAATTTAAATATTCATATACTTTTTTGTTACTTTTAATACAACTGTTATAATATCATTTTACCACATGAAAATATTTACACTACACATTAAATAACTGGATAAACTGCTGCATAAAGCACTAATCATCAAAAGTGCCAGTAATAAATTAACACAAACAGACTATAAATGAATAATCTCCTCTAAACACACTGTAAAAATAAACGAATTACTTCTGCAGTAAACCAAAACAGTGCTTATTTCCAAATATTTCCACTAACGTTTTCGAACTATAAATGTTTTCGATTACATTCATTAGTCATCCTCAGATAATTTAATGTTCTAAAATAGAATGTATGATTAAAATTTAACTAAATTCAAACAAAACTAATTGAATGCAGCCAACAAAGTCAGATTTTTTTTTTTAACAATTTTAAACTATGAAATTTCAATAAAAAAATCTCCACACACTCACAAGAGTGTTGTTATCTTTGAAGTTTATTGCTATTTTCTTGTAGTTGTCTTTACAAATTTCCAGCTGTTCTCATAGCTTTGAGGGGTGATTTATTCCTTATTTGGTGGATGAGATAAGTGTCTTCAAACAGTACTTTTACTTGATCATCCAATGCACAGGTAGTTAACGATACTCGCATTGTGGTGTTTTTCAGTAGCACCTTGGGAAAAGAGTTCTATTCTATGTTAACACAGGGAATTGTTGCTATTATCAAGTGTCATAATTGAAGAACAATAACTTATTTGATCTTAGTAATAAGTTATAGAGGTAAAAATTAGATTACATATATTTTGTTTTTGCATGCCATAAGTTTTATGGAATATCGAGTTACTGGGAGTCAAGTTTCCAGGACTCTAATGTATAAGTTTTGTATATCAATTTATTACTATTATTAAGATATAAAATCAATGTGTAAATTTTAATTTTTAATCTTTTCCAAAAAATTGAATATAAATACTAGATTTTTATGTAAGAATAATCTAATTCAATCTATTATTTTTATTTAAAAATTTTTTTTTCTTATAAAAATGTTCTTACTTATGAAAGTGTTATCAAAAATGAAAGTATTTTTTAGACTTGTTTGTAAATTTAAAATTTTCTTTATATTACAATTAACATTAAATTGCATTATTCTGATTTGTAAAATATCAAATACTTAATCAGTTTTACGTTCATTAAATTTCAAGAAAACTTTTTCAAACAAACTGTATCTATATTAGCATTAAAAAATAGTATTGAATGCATTTTTGAATGATAGAAACATATTCTTACCATTAAGTGTGCCTCTCATCACATAAATTGCATTAATTTTTGGATTATCTCTATATCCCTGGAAGAAGAAAAAAATTAATAAATTTGTCATCTTGAGTAAATTATACATAAAAAAAAAAAATAGAAAAGTTAGAAAGTAAATAATAAATATTTTCAAACAAATAAAAACAATACTCAAAAATCAAAATCCTGACAACAAAATTGATAAAACACTTGAAACAGAAAAAAAATCAGACTTTTATATCCAACAAAAATCAATAGTAAACAATAAATATTTTTAATCATCTTGAAATTTACAAATTGGAAGTAAAAGGAAAGATAATATTATAGAATAGCCAAAACATTTTAATTAAGGAAAAAAACATATATAAAAGTTAAAAATTACAATTAATAGAACAAACAAAACAGAAATTTTTAGAACTAACTAATAAAACACACCACTTAAGAAATTATATGAGTAAAAGTTTTCCAATCTATAATATAATCGAGACGGGTTGATAATAATGATAATAATAATAAGTGCAGAGCCCAAACGGTTAGGAGTTGGAAGCTGAAATTTGGTACACAGATAGGGTACGTCACGAAAACGCACACTAAGAAGGGATTTTTCGAAATTCCTCCTGGGGGGGAGAAAGACAGGATTAAGGCTTAACACTTCCATCAACAATGGAAGTGTTAAGCAACAATGGCGGTGTTAGGTAACAATGGAAGTGTTAAGTAACAATGGAAGTTTTAAGTAACAATGGAAGTGTCAACAATGGAAATCTTACGTAACAATGGAAGTTTTAAGTAACAATAAAAGTTTTAAGTAACAATGGAAGTGTCAACAATGGAAATCTTACGTAACAATGGAATTGTTAAGAGAAAGCGACGTGTGATACGCAGATGCAGTTTTTTCGTTTTTGCAGGAAATCGAACATATTTTTAGACCCATCTAAAAATTCTCTAAGGGGACCCAATTCTTGCATTCTGTGAAAACGGGTAAGGTTGACTGTAACGTAATAATCTTTATCTTAGTTATCGTTACTTTTGCCCGAGCAACACCGGGCCCACCTGCTAGTATTAAATAATCCAAACAGAATTGAATTCAAATTGAATGTAGAATGCAATAGAATGAGCATTTTAAATGGAACACACATAACTGACCTGAAGCATTTGAAAATGTTTGTTGTTTTTAAGGTGTTACTTAAATAAAACTACAATTACTGAGGTGACTTAATAATCCAAATTCTTATAATTGAGACATTAGCCAAGAAAGCCATCCATGCTTGTAAATTTTAAACTTCCATATGTTTAGTAAGCCTGGATCTTGAACTGATCTGATGATATTTACTATTTCTCAGTATATAATGTTCTTTTGTTGAAAAGCAAAAGATAAGACAGCCATAGAAATAGATAAATAAATAAAACTCACGCCAAAATTGTATAGCCTTCTTGATAAAAAGCACTGAGTTCAGCGTTAATACGATTTTTCTTGTATCGCAAGTACTTTCGATGAGTATTATATCGTCGTCTTCAGGCGAAAAAAAGAACAAAATTTGAATTNCGCCAAGAGTCGCACAATTAGTACGATCGCTCCTCAATGCATGCGCTGCTAGTCGTGTGGATTTAAAATATTTCGAACTCCAGCAAAAGCTTGTTGCACGTGACCAACGGAATTACCGAACGCTATAATTTAGAAATTGACAAGAAAAAAATTTTCCGTTTTCTACTTGGAACATTCTGCATGTTCTAATTCAAATTTTGTTCTTTTTTTCGCCTGAAGACGACGATATAATACTCATCGAAAGTACTTGCGATACAAGAAAAATCGTATTAAAGCTGAACTCAGTGCTTTTTATCAAGAAGGATAAGACAGCCATGTTGTAAATGCATCACTTGTGATTTATACATTAAGACTTATATTTTGGTTTTATCACAGAGGAAAATCAATTTAGTCAAAATAAAAAAAAAAGGATTTGTTCAACATTTTAGCTTCTTTCTTTTTACTTAAATTTGGTATTTTAAATTAGTATTTTGATAATTTGATATTATTTTACTTATTTATTAATAATATTAGGCATTCAGTTAATACACAAAATATTAGAAAAATTATTTTTACCAAGAATGAAAACAACAATTGCTACACTTCTCAAACATCAGAATTTTATAAAGTCAAAAATTTATGAAAATTAAGATTTTATCTCAAACTACAAGTTTAGTTTCCCTGAAAATAAATTTGCTATCTTAGAATAATAATTAGAAATATAAAATAATGAAAATAGAATAAATTTCATTGGATTATGATTATTATTTTTATAAAACTATGCTTTACACACTTGTTCTTAATACAGACTATTCATAACAAAAAATTAATGATAATTAACCTCCTCAAACTAATTCCTGTTCACTTTGTTCCCTTCATTCTATGTCCCACATGGTGGGTAGCCCAACCTTTCCATCCTCATTCACTTTTCCCCTCTCAGCCTAACTCCCCTACCCCACTTGCTTTGCTCAAGTCAAGTCTCATTCACTTTGCTCAACCTCTCATTTGCTTTGCTTCCTCTGGACCAGCCCACTTCTTCACTTCCCCCCTCATACCCTTCATTTTGCTCACTTGTTCTAAGATTTTGTGACAATCCAGTAATTCCTAATGTCACCATTTCTATTTTGCTTTTTTGTGATGTTGTCACGATGATTTTAAGCTAAGCATTTTGTATATATAGAGTAGATATTTTAAATGGAGAAAAACAGTAACCATCCCATCTCTTAATAAGATGAGAAGATAGAAGAATGTCTAGTAGGTAAATACACACAAATTATTAACAATTATGAAAAAAATTTAATGTAAATTGTAAACCTAATGTTAAATCTATATTAATATTTATGTTAATATTATTGATATTATTTTAAAAATGACAAAGCCAATTTACTCTTATTACCATTAACAAATAAAATGAATGTTAATTTAGGTCCAAGTTATTAATAATATAGAACAATAATATATATTATCATCATGAGATTTGACAAACATTTGAATAAAAAATTCATTTTATCTAGATGTACAAAAGCTTTTAGTCTTTTTTTAGAAGTCTAAACGACAGAACAAATAACATATATATAAACAATATTAAAAATTTATGAAAATAATTTGAATAGCTGACTAAAAAGAAATATTCAAGTATTTATTTCAATTAAATAAACGAATTATCATTGCTATTTTATTATATAATTTTATTTGATTTCAATCCACTTAAAAATTAATTATAAATGTTAATTTTAAATGTCCAAATTGTAATTTAGGTCAACATTATAATAAGTTATACATAATTTGTTGTAATAAACTCTTTCTGTATTAATAAGTTTAACAATTAAAATTAAAAATAACAAACTAATGTAATTAATTTGCTACATTAATGTAATTAATGTAGCAAACTAATTTATAACATATTTGAAATAACTAAATATTACAATCATTAGTCATTATAAAACTTTGGAACAAAACTACAGTCTCTCTTTGACTTATAATGGGATTACGTTCCGAAAAACACACTGTAAATCAAAAATATCGTAAGTTGAAAATAAAAATAAATAAATAGGCTATACACAAGGTTATATAGTATGTAATGTGTGTTTGGGATATTGCAATCAACAATAGCCCAAACTCACAAGTCATCACCATAACTGTCATAAGTTTCTTATTGAGATACAGCAGAGTATTTTGCAGATATAATGGATATACTGTAAAACATATGATGATACTGTAAAACATATATATATACACACCAGTTTATGTCATCATATGTTAAAATTTTTTTTTTTTTCAAACTTAAAGAATTAAAACTACAGTAATTTAAGACTGGATGTAATAATTATAAAGTAAGATTTACTATGTTTAAAGATATTGTGATATAGTTTATAATAAGGTTTTTTATCCATTTAATAAAATTTTTTTAAAGGTTTTATAATAGTATTTATATGGAAACATTGAATGTGTACCAAAGTTTTAAAAATTGTTTCTCTCTCTTAAAGACATGTAAGTAAATATAAAAAATCATAATGTAAAAGATTTTTTGTGATTGTAATAATGTCAAGTCTAATAATCATTTCATTGTTTTTAATAACACTGAAGAAGGGCTGTGAATTTACAACAGCTTAAAATGCATATGATGTATAATCTATTTATGAATATATTACAATAAAGTCTTAAGTAATAACTTGGAGTTGCTGTGAGAAAATCAACTGACACAGATTAAAGTAATTTTACATACAACAAATTTATTTATTATTATTAAAAAATATTATTAACTTATTTCAGAATAAAATTAGAAAAATAAAATTTCTGTTAATATTAAGTATATATTTGATATATTGGAGTTATTCCATTTTAAAACAAAATATAAAAAATGAAATATAGCATCTTAGAAAGGTATTATTCATTTACTTTATTTATCAATTTTTATTTTCAAAAGTGCTAAGATGAGTGAGAACTATAAATTTTGAAAATGTAGTTTAAGGATTAAGTATATTTCACTATTTTGCAAATAAATTTATTAATACTTCTATATGCAGTTTGTTGAGAAAGAATTCAAGATAAATTTTTTTCCACATTCCTAACTCCTCTTTTCAAAATAAAACATTATAAACTGATGTATACTTTCAAGGAAGTGTAAAGTCGACTGAAATTGAATAAAAGACTATGATAAAAATTAAAAAGCAACATATGAACTTTACTTATGTAATGAATAAATACATGAAAAGTTGGATATTTGAAATTACAAGCTAGAATAATTTATTATCTCCACCTTCGACAGTATCATGCAGTACATAGCAACTTCATCATTATTTGATATTTACAATGAGTGTATCTTAAAAATGCTAACAAATAATCTAAGTAACATTTTATACAATATATGGTAGTTATGTTATTTCAATAACAAACCTATCTAAAATAATTTATCTTGAAGACTTGGCATACTGTTGTAAAAATATTCTTGTAAATTTACATCTCAAAAACAACAGACTGACACTGTTATTCCTAAAACAATCTCTAGAACATTTATTTTCATTAATGTATAT